TTGTTGATAATATCTGAAAATGTCTCTGAGCAGGGATGAAGAACATAATGACTGATGTGATCCAGATCAGGACTTTTCTCTCACGCTCTGTTAGAAAGCTTCCACAGCCTCACAGCAGTGTGTGCCGTTAGCTCTGCTTCTTTAGACGCTAACTTAGAATCAGCTCCAACAGGTGAAGAGCGAGCGATGGATGTTTGCTGACCAGACTGTTTATGCATTTAATGGAACCAGTTTCCCTGCTGCTGTGGGACAGCGCCACTCACTGGTCACTGTCACCACTACACTTTGTCCTTTTTGCTTTGGCAGCTTTTGGGTTGGAGGTTTTGACTCATCCTGCTCATAAAATGAGTTGTTTCGTTTTCTTTAGAAAGCCTCTGATTAGAGTTTAGATCCTTATTGTCCCTGTGAACATAATGACTGCTGATTGTCTTTGTGCTTTATTACAGACTGTTTTTGTCCTGACTAAATCTGTCATAGTGAAAATGTGACTGATTACCTGTAAACCAACTTTGGATTTATTATTTTGCAAGATTCCAGAAAGAAAAAGCAGAAAAGGAGCGTTTAGGTGATCGTGTTCATAAATTATGTTAAAGACGCTGAGGGTGTGTAGTTCTGTGTCGTTCCTGTGTAGGGCCGCATTAAACATTTGCTTCATTTGTTCATAAAGTTAATAATGATGGTGAGAAACCACAGCAGCCCCTGAGCTGCTGTTTCTTTTTGTGTTGTTGTTAATAATAAGTATTAAATTAGACTTTGTCAGTCACAAGCCTTTAAAGTAAATGGGAGTGACTCAGCATTCTGACTCCTGCTTCACCTCTAGCCGTGTCCAAGTACTTGCCAAATGTTGCCTTTAATTTTCCTGTTATTCAATGAAACCATTTCCTTCATACTATTCTGACTGAGTCATCTCACCCGTCCCGCCCGAGTCTCGCCAACACTCGGCGTGTTCTCGTCACCACATCCTGAATCTCCTCCGTGGTGTGCCTCTGTTCCTCTTGCCTCCATATTCACCATCTGATGTTCACATTTCTAATCGTGTCCATGCCACAGTCACAGCATCTCCAGTTCTGCTCCAGCTTCGTCTCCTTTCTTTGGTGATGTGATCTCCAAAGCGTACATGATAGCAGGTCTCACTTGCATCTTGTAAATCTCGCCTTTTCCTGCTCTCCTTCTGTCATATGTAGCCCCTGATATCACTGCCTCGCCCTGCCTGCACTCTACCTGCTCCTCCACCTGCTCCACCCCACCCTTTGCAGCTTCAGCCTCATGGCACCTTAAACCCATCTGCCACCCCTGACTTCCTCATGCTCATGTGCTTTCTATAGATGTGCAGAGACACATTGCAGCTCCTTTGATCATCACAATCAGTGTTTTCAAATCAAACAACACATCTGTAGCGCACAAGAAGCCATACTGCTGCTCGCTGATCGTCACCTCTCCTCCATGGTTATCTCCCGTACTGACGAACTTACGAGTGATCAGAAACATTGGAAATAATCAACACCAAATTGAACCCAACCCTGTGTGCTTCTTCTTTGCATGATGGTGAAATATAGTTTCATTGCACGTTGCATGGATGGGTTTTAATATCCATGCCATTTTATTAGGGAAGTGTTAGGTACCTTAATACCTAATAGGGTACTTAATAATAGGTACCATAACCTTAATAAGGTAGCAACAAGTGAAGCAACACTGTTGCTCCACATGTGGGAATATCTCATGGTACTTGCACTAGCAACAGAGGGTACAGAAAGAGGTTCCTCAAACACAGTGAGCACCCAGACATGAGGTGTTTCTGTGGAAGACTGTGGGAACGACACAGGAGTGACCAAACAGCCGGTCCATAGCACAAAGTAAGGAAACCATCTCTTCACGGCACGACGGACGGGCGGTTTGAGGGAGGAGCGACACATGTCGAACTGGAACATCACCAGAGGTGCTTACAGCACCAACTGTCAGCCATCTATCACACAGTCCTGAAATCCCTGCTTTGATGGATGAATGGAGCAAACATGAAAATGTCCCGACACATAAACCTGCGCTGACACGATCGCCTCAGAGATGAAGTATCTGGACTCCCATCAGCATGTAGAACTTGGTGCTTCTGGACTGGAGGTGAAAATAGTTCGAAAGAACAACAGTAGCGTGTTATTAGTCGTGGTCTGGTGTTTGATGGCTATTCAGCCACTCAGTGACATACACGCTGAGCTCCAAGTAAAGTTCTGGTTGTCGTTTAGGAGCAACGTCGTTGGCAGATCTTAGTCTGACCAGAATGAACCTTGTTATAAAACTCTCGTTAGTGAGAAGAAAACCGTCTGTGAACTGGTCACCCTGGAGTTCAACTGCCAGCCTTTCACAGAAGCAGCCAATGACCCGGTGCAGTTGTTGAAGATGCTGTCTTTGGGTTATGTTGTGCAGTAAGATTCTTGTTACGTCTGCACTGTTTGACTTGATGATGTTGTGTGACTCTCTTTCACTAGTGCTTGCATGCAAAGCCACATCAGTACTTATTGTGTCCATTCATTGTTTCCTAGCTAACCTTCTTAGCACGAAAGGTAATGTTATCGAACCAAGCTGACCACACTGACCTCCCAGCTTTTCCTCCATCTCCATGTAACATTGTGCTATTTAAGGTGGAGCCCACGCTCATGCTGTGACGATGAACTCATGCTGTCTTTGTGTTCCTGTTTTTAACCTTTAACTGTGTTTTCATTATGTCAAAGCTGTCCAGATATCCCAAACTAAAGCGATGTGTCTCTGTCCCTCAGCTCGAAAGCAGGAGATCATCAAGGCCACTGAGCAGCTGATTGAGGCCATTAACAATGGAGACTTTGAAGCCTACACGTTAGTCATTAAAGTACTTGTCAGTAAACTCTCACACGTTCATATGTTTCCATAAAGCTAATGAATGTGTTGCCTGTGTTCTTTCAGGAAGATATGTGATCCTGGTCTCACATCCTTTGAACCTGAAGCCTTGGGTAACCTGGTGGAGGGCACAGACTTCCACCGCTTCTACTTTGAGAACGGTACAGTGTTCCTGCGGGACATGGT